AATGGGGCATGTCAAAGCATTTAAAACACGATTTCAACCCAATCTCATTTCTTTAAAAAAAAAAAAATCAATTTGTCTCAACTTAATCTCGATTCAAAAAAAATTATCCCTTATCAAATTGAGATGGATCAAACTTGTTGATATAGATTATTCTGACATTTCTATCAATTGGCACTTCTCGTTACAAAATTTATCTAATCAAAAAATATAAAAAAAGCGAAAGGGGCATGTCATAATGATTTTTCATCCATAGGGGACTCGATCACTAGACTTGGTAAAAATTTTCGAAGTCACCACCAATCTTTTTTTGTAGGGTGTGATTGACCACCAAAAAATATCATCTTTTAATAAAAATCTTTAAATTAATTAAGATTTACTAAAATAAGTTTAGGTATGAGAAATTATGGTTGGGTCTAAGAGTATGGTTACAAGTGAGAAAGGTATTAGCACCATCACATCGCCCATTCAAGGAACGGTACCAATTAAATATATGTAATCCTTTTAATTTTAATGATGTGGTTTTTTTTCATATTTAAACTTAATTTCCTAAAATTTATTTATGAAAAACATTTTTTTTTGTTATGAAGTTAGTGTTATTATTAATTTTGTTTCTATACATTCTCCAATGCTTTGATAGAATTTATAGAAAATTTTTATTTAGAAAATATTTCAAAAAAATTAACCATTCACAAAATTCTCAAAATCTCATCACAAAATATTTTATTTATTTATTAAAAAATGATTTTAGGAACATCCCAACTCTTTGGCAAAATCCTAACAAATTTTTGGATCATATCAATTTTCTGACGAGATCCTAAATAAAATTATTTTTTGATGATAATTAAGGGATTTAATTAATTAATTAATTAATTTTTATTATGATTATGATTATATTTATTTTTTGCTATTATTTACTATTTATTATTATTTCATTTTTATTATTTAAAAAAAATTTTAGATTATCCTAACTCACCGACGAAATCTAAAAAATACTAATCTTTTACTAGCATTAAAGAAAATTGAATTCTTTCAATTTTCTTTAAAACATTACATTTTTTAAAAATATTTATTCAAAATATCAATTAGTATTATTATTTTATTTTTATACTGTTTAAATAAACCTTTATTCTTGTAAAAATAATTTTGGATTATTCCAACTCTATGGTAAAATCCAAAAAATTATTTTTACTTGCAATAATTAAAAAAAAAAACCAAACTCTTTTAGTTTTCTCTAAAAATTACATTTAAAAGATTTTTTTAAACAATTTATTATTTCTTTTTTATTTTATTTATTTTTATCTTTTTAAATTTTATTTTTTAGCAAAAATTATTTTTTAAATTATTCTTACACTTTGGTGAAATTTAAATAACCTTTTTACTTGCAATAAAATTTTATTTTCCTTAAATAGTTATCGTTATTATTAGTTTTTTAAAGATTTATGCATATTATATTTTTTTAGGTTCATATTTTATTTTAGTTTTATTTTTTATTTTATTTATTTATTTATGAAAGAATTAGTACTAGTAATTATATAAAATAACAATAATAATAACAATAATATCATAAAAAAATAAAAAATAAATAACATAAAAATCAACATAAAATAAATAAAATAAAAACAAAAACAAAAAATAAAAGGAAAAAGAATAGGGAAAACCTGCCAAATAGGTTAGGCAACACGTGGGTTCGAACACCTAAAACGGAGTCGTTTTGGTATACCTATAAAAAGCTTTTTTTTTTATTATTTATTCTTCCTCCTCTCTCTCTTTACCCTAGTGTTCCCCTCTCTAAAACCCAAAACCCCTCTAGTTGGCCACTGCAATTACTCGATTTTTAGTTGATCGTCGCTATGCCATTACCAAAAACTTCAATCGGTATTGGAAAATTCTAGCACAACCTAGATTTCAATAGGTTTTCTAGTTTTTAATGGCCAAAAAATTCAACAGTTGTTAACAAATTTGAACTTTTCCAGTTTCTAGTGACCTAAAAAAATTTAAAAAAATTCTAAAAAATTCCTAAATCATTTCTTTTTTTGTTCTAAACATTTTTTTGAAAACAAATTTTCCAAAAAAATTGTTAAATCTCTTAGATTGAAAATTTCATTCTTGAGATTTTTTTTTTCTTCTGAAATTTTTTTTTGTGTTTGTTGTTGGTTCCTCTATCAAAAAGGACAGTGATTGTGTTTTTTTTTTTTTTTTGCTTCTATGTCTCTTTTTTTTTCTTTTTTTGTAGAACCCCTAGACTTTCTCTTTTGTTTTTGGTAGTGTTCTAACTTGATTATATAGAACATTTTTGAATCTTCAAATTCTAGATAATCTGGGATTCATGAAAACTGTCATGGCTCTTTAATTCATGCTGCAAGATTAGGTTTTGACAGAGGAGAAAAACAAACCACTTTGGTAGCTTGATTTCAGTTGCTAGAGTTGAAACCAATTTTTTTACTTTTTTTTCTTCTTTTTTTATTAATTTATTTTATTATTAAATTTTTTTTGTGGACAAAATATGTGTTTATAGGGAAAAAAACCCAAATGAAGTGCCTTATGGACACATCTATTGGGTTTTTTCACAATACTTTAATTAAAAGGACAAAAAAAAGGAAAAGAAAAGAAAAAAATTAAAAAAAAAGTTCATTAGAGTATTATATGAACATTTCAATTGAGTGAGGTCTCATTAGATACAAATTAGTTTGCTATTCTTACTTATCAGCTTTTTTATTGCAAAATTTATTTAATTTAAAAATAGAAAAGGCAAACACATACATTTTTTTCACATTTATCTAAATTAACAAAAAAATAACAAAATAACAAAAAAAATGAAAAAAAAAAGCAAAAACATAAGGTGATATGTCGAAATCTCAAATGGAGATTATACAAAAGTCAAAATGAATAAAATTTGTATGATAGATGGATGAATGGATTATATCTTAATTATGTATAAATATAATATTTTTATTAAATTAAGATATTAAGTAATAAATTCATTAATATAATACATATATATAAATATAAAATTAAATAATTAATTAAAAATATAATTTTATATAACTAAGGTAAGATGGAACGTCACAAATCTATTTTTAACTTAACCTTGATTTTTCTTTTTAAAAAAAATCTCGATTCAATCTCAAAAAAAAAAAATGCACCTATAAGATTTGAACGAAAACTTGTCGGATGTGGGTTGTTTTAATATATATATCTCAATTGACATTTTTCTTAAAAATTTGTTTGCTAATTATATTTGTTATAAATAATTTGATTAAAATAACAAAAAAATTAAAAGGCAAAAACAAATGAAATAAGATACCACACGTACGTTTATGCTTTTTGTTTTAATTGTCTAATTAAAACACAAAAATTAAACAAATTAAATTAAAAAAAGTAAAAATAAATAAAAAAGCAAAAAATAAAATAAAAAAAAATAAAGTCCAGTTCCCTTGAGATATTAAAATGATAGCATTTTCTTACAATATTTATAAAATGGATTTATATCAATTGTTTTTATTTTAATTTACTTTTTTCTATTTTTCTCTTTTATATTTAATTGTTATATTTTTAATTTTTATGTAGGGCTAATTTAATATTATTGATTAAAATATCATTTTCTAATATACTTTTTATACACTAAAACAGAAAAAAAAAATCAAATTTAGATGCCTCATTAACACCTCCATTGATTTTTTTTTTTTTGCAAAATTATCTAATCACCAAAAAATACAAAAAAAATTAATCAATAATATAAAACCAATCTTACACAGAAAAAAATTAAAAATATTAAAAGCTGAGCAAACTTATGTGAGATATGAGTTCCTTATTGGGTAAAAAGAGAAAAGATGATATGCAGATGTCTTACTTTATATTTGGATAAACATTAATTAAAAAAAATTAAAGTTTTTTCAAAGGAAATGAACGGATACATGCACTTTTTATTTGGATAGTTAAAATTAATAAAAAAAATTATAACAATCATTTTTGGTTAAAGAATGAAAAGGAAAAGAAATGATTTATTATAATATATTTTTCGATTATACCTGTTTTAAATAAAATATTTTATTTATCACATGAATAATTAGAAATTAATTGTTTAAGTAAAAGAGGAAAAAAAAACTCAATAAAAGAAATGGATTTTTATTAAACCATAAAAGAATGTGCCTTTGATATTATTTTCATATATTTATATTTTTTAAAAAATTAATTTCTAATGAGAAAATTCAAGAATCTAAATATGTCTTCATAAATAAAATTAATTATAAACTTAAATTAATAGGGGTGAGCATATATCGGTTCTAACCAATTTAACTGACTGAAATTATGAAATATGGTCATTTCGGTTCGATTTAATCGGTTTTCGACTATAATCGATTTTAAGATCGATTAAATTAGTTAAATCGGTCGGTTATCGATTTTTAAAATTGATAACCGAATTAATCGAATTAATTGATCTTATAATAACTAAGGGTAAATATGTAAATTCTTTTAAAAAAAAAACTTAAATTTAACTTACCTTTTTTAACTCATCCACCCACGCCGTTTTCCCCTTTCTACTCTTTGCTCCTCCTCTGTTGCAACTTACCGTGTCTCTGCCCTTTGCAGTTTGCTCTCCTTCAATCTCTTACATCTTCGGCTCCCTCTTACTCTCTTGCTTGGCTACTTGCCTCATAATCTCTTGCTCCCTCTAATTGCTACACAAGATCAGACAGTTGTAGAGATCAATCTGCCCAAGACCCCATCGTAAGCTCTTAAATCTTAATAACCTTTATTTTTTCTTTTAGCGTGATGTTTAGAGCTGTATTCTTCCTATATGTTTTAAGCTAAAGCATAACCCAAACGGCCAAACCTCAGACCCAGGGTGTGCCCACGGTAATGTTTTTTTTGCTGGTATTTTTTAGTACCTTTTGTTGTTTAGAGTGATTCGATAGATGGACATGGACCCTATCTCTAGCCTGGAAGGAATAGGTCTAGGACTTTCAGTGGCTTATTTACTCTTCCAATTGATTGACTAGGTTCTGGAACAAAAGGATCAAAAGTCAAAACCTTCCACGCCCCATGCTGGATTTACAGTATCTGTAGCAAGCTGTGAAAATACTCTTTTTAGTCGAGGAAAGCACTTTAACTTATAAAAATGAAGGGAGCAAGATTTTCAATAATAGTTTTTGCCAGTTTTGACTTGCTTCGCTAAATTATCAAAAGAAAGCAACAACTATTCGGACTAAGACGATGTGGACTCAAGAAAAAGTAAAAGGAAATGCTATTTTCTAGGCCGGCTGGGGAAACCAATTAATGTGTGGTAAAACGCACCTTTCTCAGATTGATGAATTTTATCTGCTGATTCAGTTAAGCCTATTCCCCAAGCAGAATTCAAGCTCTGCAGTTATAAGGATACTGCAAATGCAGCTAGAGACCAGGCAATAAATGCTACTCAATCAGCTCAAGAGTCTGCTCAGCAAGAACAGTAACAGACTACTGGTTTCCTGCAACAGACTGCTGGTTTCCTTCAGCAAGTTTTTTCTTTACCTGTCATTCCCTTTCATCAATTCTTTTGCTTTTCAATAATAATAATACCTCATTTTAGGGTACATTAAACAGACAATTGATAAAGTTTACGTTATTTTGAGCTTTGGTTAGGAAACTAATGAAATAGGAATTCGTACTGTTGCAGACTGGAGAGCAAATGAAGGGCATGGCTCAGGGTGCTGTGGAAAGTGTGAAGAACACACTTGGAATGAATGAGAAAAAATGAAATCAAAGGATTGATGAGATCATTTGGTTATGAAACGAGATGCAACTTTAATAAATGCAGATTTTGTTGCTTTCTTTTGGTAATTTAGGGATGACTGATGGTATGGCAACATGGTAATGATGTGGACTAAGATGATTCGAGGATGGTCCCATAACTCACAAGCAAAAGACAGAAATAGTTTAAGTGATTTACACCTTGAAGTAGAGTGTGTAAATACTGGATGTATACATAGAGAAATAAGCTTAAAATACAACTATTCGGGAATAAAGATTTTAAAGAAATCTATTGTCAGAGATCTAGCACTTTTAAGTTTTAACTTTCTTGCTAGATTTACAACTAATTAAACTAAATTATGCTAGATACTTAAATTAAAAGTTAAAATAAATTAGCCTAAACTATGCTAGACACTTACATTGTTTGTTGATAAAATAAGCAACTAATATATAGTTTGATTAACAAACTATTTCATTATTTGAATATCCAATGTGTTCAATAATTATGTGAATATTACTTTATTATTTTTTCATTATTTGAATATAATTTTATTTTTATTTATTATTTTAATATAATTTAATTATTTATTTTTTATTGTTTGGATATAATTTGATCACTTGCTTTTTTTTTTTTGAAGATGTCAAATGAAGTGAATGATATGATTTTGGATTCTACAACTAATCAAACACAATTGGCCTCTCAACTTCCTGCATATGATAAGGTAACAAAAAGTGAAACTGTAAATTTCAAAGTGATAAGACGAGCATCTAAGCCATGGTCAGAGGTATGGGACCACTTTACTAAATTTGTTAATGAGGAAGGTAATCATAAAGCTAGGTGTAATTATTGTGACAGAGAATTTTTTGCTGATCCTAGAAAGAATGGAACTACCACTTTAAAGAATTACATGAATTCTTGTAAAAAGCTTCCTCGTGTTAGTGGGGATGATGGTACTCAAACAGAATTGGTGTTGCCGTCAGGAGGAATGGAATCTTTAGGCACTTGGAAATTTAATCAAGATGCTGTTAGAAAAGCTGTAGCTAAAATGATCATTCTAAATGAGTAGCCATTTAGATTTGTGGAGTCGGAAGGATTTAGGCATTGCATGTCAGTTACATGTCCTAGATTTTATGTACCATCACGATGGACAGTTACTAGAGATTGCTATCAGCTTTATATTGATGAAAAGACTCATTTGAAGCAATTCATGAAATCATCTTTTACAAGAGTATCTCTTACCACTGATACATGGACCTCATTACAAAGGGTCAATTATATGTGTCTTACGGTTCACTTCATAGAAAAAGATTGGAAACTAAACAAAAAGATATTAAATTTTTGTCCCATTTCTAGTCACAAAAGTGAAGCTATTGGTAAAGCGGTTGAAAAATAGTTGCGTGATTGGGGGATTGATAAGATTTTTACTGTTACAGTTGATAATGCTAGTTCTAATGATGTTGCAATTGCATATTTGAGGAAAAAATTTAACAATGCTGGAACTAGTATTTTGGGAGGCAAATATCTTCATTTGAGATGCATTGCACATATTGTTAATCTTATTGTTTGTGATGGATTGAAGGAAATGAATGAAACAATTGCTCGTGTTAGAGGGGCAATAAGATATGTGAGACAATCACCTTCCAGGTTAGCTAAGTTTAAAAGTGTATTGTGAATGAACATATTCAAAGTAAAAGTTTATTGTGTTTGGATGTTAGCACTAGATGGAATTCTACTTATTTGATGTTGGATGCAGCTCAAAAGTTTGAAAGGGCATTTGATGCATTTGATGATGTTGATCCTTATTATAGAAGTGAGCTTTTGATGGGAGATGGGGTACCCGATCAAAATGATTGGGCAATTGTTAGGAAGTTTTACCTTTTCTTGCAACAATTTTATGATCTCACCGTGAAAGTTTCAGGTACTTCTTACGTCACATCTAATACTTTTCTTAATGATATATGTGATGTTTATTCCACTTTGCGAGAATGGTAATTAAATCCTGATGTTGAGTTGAATGCAATGGCAAAGAGAATGAAGGATAAATATGATAAGTATTAGGGAAATATAGAGAAGATGAATATGTTGGTTTATATTGCTTCTCTACTTGATCCTTCAAAAAAGTTTTTTTTTGTTGAATATTGCTTCATAAAAATGTATGCTTCTGATGAAGCTTCATTGATGATTAAAAAAGTACAACAAGCAATAGAAGACTTATTTAATGAATACAAAAGAATATTAGAACCTCAGTCTGAGCAAGTTGGTGAAAGTAGTCAAGTGAGCCAAATGTCACAGCCCACCGATGATGAAAGTGGAAATGAAATGACAAAAAAAAAAAGAAAGCTTTAAGTCCAAGTACAAGAGGTATAGGATTAAACATGGCAAAGATGAACATAAATCAAATTGGCTAAATATTTGAGTGAGGAGCTTGATGATGATGATAGTGATGACTTTCATGTTTTAATTTGGTGGAAACTTAATAGCCATAGGTTTCCTATCCTTTCCCATCTAGCTCGTGATGTGTTAGCAATTCCTATATCCACAGTTGCTTCCGAATCTGTTTTTAGCACTGGTGGTCGTGTGCTTTATGCATATAGGAGCTCTTTAACTCCTAAAATTGTGCAAGCCCTTATTTGTGCTCAAGATTGGTTACGTAGATCTTCTAATCTTGATTCATTTCAACCTGAAGATGATTTGATACAGCTTGACAAAATGGATTTAGGTAATATTTACTTATACTATCATTTATTTTTTAAGGATTATTATTTTTTATTTTTTTATTTGTTTAAAGATTACTTTTGTTATTTTTGTTTATATATTTTTAGATTTGTCAAAAATTACCTTAGATCCAGTAATTGATTGAAACAAAGGTGCATGGACCTTTTTGAGGTAATTTCATTATTAATTTCTATGAATATTTACATTTAAAAAATATTTATTGTTTTCAATGACAACTAATTAAAGTTTTAATCTCTTTAACATTTTAGGAAAAAATGAAGGATGTGCACCAAAGTTATGGGGTTCATGTATGAATAATGCTGTTAGAACTTGGAATGTCCTTTAATTAGCTTGTTTTATGTTTTTTTATGAACTTTTATATCAATTTGTCAACTCGGAGTGTTCTTAGCTTGTTTTATGTTTTGTATGAGTTGTTAGCTCAATTTGTCAACTTAAAATGTCTTTTATGTTTTGCACCAAAGTTATGAGATGCATATTTGCTTGATTTGCCTTTTTAAGTTGGCTTGTTGATCCTTGAAAACTTGTTTATCTGTTGAAATGACAATTATTATGTATTGATGGCTTTATGTATTGATGGCTTTGTTGGTTATTTGATATATGTTAGAGTAACACTTTTTAAAACTTATTGTTTAATTTATTTTGATTAAATAAGTTTAAATGAGTATTTATTTGTCTTTTTTCTTGTAAAATATTGTAGAAATTATTAAATTCTTTAGTGATTTAGTTTGAATGGTATGTCAATTTGAGTTTTATTATATTGAATTTGTAGCTAAATAATTATTCAAAATAAGAGAAAAAATGATGAAAAATTCGATTATTTAACCGAACTAATCGAACCGAACCGATTTTTGATCGGTTCGATTAAATCGGTTAGTTAAAATTTTGTTGATCGGTTCGATTATTGATAAAATAAAAATTGATTAATTCGGTTATTGATTTTTTCAGACCGAATTAACCAAATTGACCGACTGCACACCCCTATATATTAATATTTTCTTACAAATTTAACTTGCTCTATTAATATATAAATAATTTCTCTAATTATTTGTGTTTTTCATGTACATGTTTTTCTTTTCTCAAATTTGTGAAATAATAATAAAATATAAAAATATAAAACTCCAGCATAAATTAAAAAATTAATAAAAGATATAAAAAAGTAAAGTAAGGAGACGGGTTAAAGCAAGGAGACGAGTTTAAGTGGGATGAAAAGTAAATATTAATATTACTTGTCAAACTTATAATATAGTCTTTGAAAATTGAAGAAAACAATAAAGGCAAAAATGTTATTTTATATTTTAAAAAATTTATCTATTTTATTTTTCTAGTTTTTTTTTTTGCCTAATTTGGATTAATTGGACAAAGAAGTATTTGACGGAAAGGGAAAGATACTCGACCTGCCTTCCTTTTCTTTATTTTAAAATAATAATATTCAAACAAGAAAAATGTTTCTTTCTTTCCCTAATTTTTTTTTTCTTTCCCTGCTCTCCCTTCCTTTTAATCCAAACAGAAGCTCAAGAACTACTAAACTTTTGATCCAAAAATAAAAAATATATATATAATTTTTATGAATGTAGATCCATCCTTGAATATCTTAATAATTTTTTTCTTAATTAGTACAATGTCCTTAAATTTTGTTTCTAAAGAGTTACACAATCAATTTCACTCAATCAAACGACCAAAATACTCTTTATACAAAATTTATTTTATACTTAAAGCATTTTCATATTTTATTATTTATTAGTAAAATTAACCTATTCATAAGATGCTAATTAAAAAAAAAAATGACATTAGAGCAGAGGATGTAGGATGAGTTTTATTTATTTTTTAATATAAAACTCAAATTAATTGTTTATGGTTTTTTTTTAACTCTTAACCAAATTAAATCAAACCAAATTTACTATTCGATTTTATCTTTCAAATCTAAACCAAATAATCAACATCCCTTCCTCAAGAAATAAATTAACAAACAAAAAAAAAAAGACAAAAGCGAAAAGGAGAGATTATAGGAGTGAAATAAGGACTACTTTTAATTAACAACCAAGGCAACTAAACCCTCGGTAAAACAGAAATATAGTTTCTTTCTAGCGCAAAAGAGAAACTGGCGATTTGTAAATCACGTAGAGTACAATCCAGTGAAACCTAAATCTTAAATCCTAAACCTTAAACCCTTAAATCTTTTTATGAAAACCAAAGAAAACTTTAATCAAGTTCATAGGAATTAAAACCCAAGGTCGGTATTGAGGAAAATTCGCTCATCTCGAAAACATTCAGTGTCTGAAATCCCAATATGAAAAGAAAGTAGTGAGAACAACTATGTTGGGTTGTTTGGGTTGTTCAAGTTAGATTGAGCTAGTTCCAAGGTGTATTTCTTTCTTTTTTTTCTTTTTTTTTTTTATAACTCTTTTGCTCTTAATTTACTATCTTTAATGTTAAAGTTTCAGTCTTTGAATCAATATGATGTTTTTATTCTGCAGAAACCAACTCTGCATAAGAGGTAGTTCCAGGATTTTTTCGAGTTTTAAAGATGTCAACATTCTTCAAAACCATACTATAATTTCATTGGCTATCAGATGTATATCAGGAAATGCGGCTGATCCACACTCATTTACGATTTCTTATCTCATAAACTCTTGTGGGTTGTCTCTAAAATCTGCTTTAGCTCTTTCCAAAAAAGTCCATTTCGAAACCCCACAAAACACCAGACTCTGTTATTAGCTTCTTCAAGAATCATGGCTTCTCACAAACCCAGATCACAAACCTCATTGAAAGATTCCCGGATTTCCTGGTGTGCAATCCTGTGAAAACCCTCTTGCCGAAATTCCAGTTCTTTTACTCTAGGGAAGTTTCAAGTTCTAACCTTCTAAGCATCTTGTTTTCTCGGCCATATGTCTTGAGACGTAGTTTAAATAGATGCATCATTCCTAATTTCAATTACTTCAAGGACTTGACTCACTGTGATGATCATAAGGTTTTTGTAGCCTACAAGCGTTTTCGAGATGTTCTTGAAAGGGATTTCTGGTCCCTTGTTGCTCCTAATCTTGCAGTTCTGCGAGAATGTGGAGTGCCTAAATCAAATATTTTGAGTAAACTTGTTGACCACCCAAGAGTCTTTGCTACAAGACATAAGAAGTTTAGAAGGACTGCGGAAGAAGTGAAAAAACTTGGCTTTAACCCATTAAAGCAAAATTTTCTTGTAGCTCTTCAAGCTTTGGTACAGATGAGCAAATCGATATGGGAAAGAAAATTCAATGTTTTTAAGGAAAAGGGTTGGTGCAATGAAGAGATTGCTTTAGCTTTTGGGAAGTACCCAATCTGCACGATGCTTTCTGAACACAAGATTAAAGTAAGGATGAATTTTTATGTCAACACAATGGGCTTGAAATCTTCATATATTGCAAATCGTCTGCTACTTCTCACATTGACCTTGGAGAAAAGAATTATTCCTCGGTGGCCAGTACTTCAAGTTTTGTTGTCCAAAGGTTTAATCGAGAAAGAAATTGGAGTCCAATGAAAAGAAGTTCCTTGGAAGGTTTGTGAATCCTTATGAGGATTTGCATTTGTTGCAGTTATATGAGGAGAAGCTAGGTGTGTCCAAAAAGATGGTAAAGATGAACAAAACATATAAATTTAACTGTCAATGTTTTAAGGTTTAATCTCGCTGATCTTCTTTTATGCAGCATGATGCATCTGTAGTCTCAACTTTGATTTTTCATTAGGTATTCAGTGAGATTATGAATATTTTGTTAGAAGCTTATGAGTCGGGGCTGAAACTGGACAGAATTATATGCATCTGTCTGTCATTTCTGAGATTTTTAGTCTTTATAATCTGCTCTGTTGGATATTTAACGATGCTATTATTTTAATTTAATATAGTTCACTTATTCATTTCTCTTGCTTGTTCATATATGTCTTTCCTGTAGCTATTGCTCCTTGAGGGATATTCAAGATGAAATGAAAAAGTACCAAGTAGTTCTGATTTTTGGTTAGCTTTATAATGAATAACTGGAGAAATAGTTTCAAAAGGAAAAGCATTATTTCTGCATTTTGAGAGCTGCATCTTCCAGAAAATGTTTAGTTTTCTGCTTTTGCGATAGCTTTATACATGACATTTCCTAGAGGGTTCAAATTACCATGAAGTCGGGGAACATTGTGTGTGTAAGTGTTTAAATTCAAGCCCCATACATCTAGAATATTATCTGCAATCCAAGTAACCTTTCGAAATATTGAAAGTGCAAGTTCTCTTTGGGAAAGCTGGTGTTGACTGTGCCTTTATGGGCAAGTTTCATAGCTTCTTTATTCATATACCAGATTCACTAGCCCTATGCTCGAGCTCAAGCATATTGTATGGTCGATGGTCTACTCACCTACCTTGAACTGGGGTTTCTTATGATCCTGCACTTTGTCAGCAGGTTTTGTAGGTTCATATCTCTGATTCACTTGGCCTATGCTCCACATAAGGTGGCTCAAGCATCATGCCTGATTTTGCTCACCTATTTTCTGATGGGGTTCCTCGTTATAAAAAAAAAATGGTGCTTCATGAGTAACATTCACAATTTTTACTTTGTGAGTATATCCCAACGAAAGCACTTCCAAAATTTTGATGAGGGTGCAAATGGTGTGATGGGGCGTCTATAAATACTTCCAAAATTTAAAGAACAAGGAAAATTTAAAGGAGAATGTTTTCTTGGACACTCAAAATTTTGTTCTAGACACTGCTAAAATTTGAAAAACAATAAAATTTAGAGGCAAATTTTTTCTTTACACTTCCAAAATATTTTTCTGGATATCTTTAACATTTATAAAATTAATAAATTCGTCAATAATATTTTAAATATATTATAAGCATACATTTTTCAAAAAAAAAAAAGATCCATCACTGAACAAGGAATATTCATATCAAATTTATTCCTATTTTGTTGATACAATGTAATCCATCTAATTCCAAAATTGTAAAATGGAGAATATAATGGACAGTAGGTTTTTTTTTTTTTTTTGGGTCACCAGTTTATTTTCAAAATTTGAGTTTAAAATCGTATCGGTGGCTAATAAATAATAAGAATTTTAAATTGCACAATCACGATTAATTAATGTGAAAATTTAGATTTTATAAGCAGAATTAAAGAGTTAATATGTGATCATTTATTAATTAATAATATATGAGATAATTTTACATAAAAAAAATATATAAAAGTAAATTGTTAATCAAATTTAACCAAAGCTAAGCCTAGTGAACACTTTTCCATTAGTTGGGCTGTCCATCAAGTCTATGGGCTTAGAATCATTTATGATGGTCCTAGACAAGGATTATTTAGTTTAAGCTTGCTTAGTTCAGATAATTATATTTTATTTAAATTGAATTCTAAAATTATTTAAAAATATTAAATATTAATATAAAATTATTTTAAAACTTTAATATATTTTTAATAATTTTAAACTTATTCAAGCTTAAATGAATGAATAAATCGACTCTAATTCGAATAATATTTTCAATGTGACAATCAAAATCTGATTCAATATAAAAAAAGTAAAAAATAATTCATATGTATTAAATAGAAATTATATATATTATGAAAATAAAATGATAACGTAAAAAGGAATCATGTGAAAATTAAATACTAAAATTGAAAAAAATTTTGGCCAGAATTTACTTAAGGATTGGGTAATTAAGTTAAATTTAATTCAGAAATTTGAGAATATTAAGGGGGCCAAATAGAAAGAAATAAAAGCATTTTGGCCAAAAAAGGAGAGAAATAAAAACTTGAAAAAAAATTCTAGGGTACAACTTTATATTTGGAAAAGGCCAAAGCCTCCCCGCCGCGCCCCCTGGCTCGTCAAACAGACCCCTTGCAGAAGCCGGAACCGGTGGAAGTGCAACAATGAGTTAAATTCAAAGGTGTGTTGTTTTCCATTACTTTTGTTTGAATTTGCGGATTTTAAAGTTAAAGATTCAGTTTTGGATGATGGGATCCATGTTTTACTCTTTCTGCAAAACACAAATCTACATTAGAGGTGGAATTTCCAGGATTTCACCTACTTCCCAATGTCTCAGCTTTCTTCATAACCTTTCAATGATTACATTAGCTGCTAGATATGTTTCAAGGATTGCTAGCAATGAACAATCTTTTACATCTTCTTACCTCATAAACTCTTGTGGGTTCTCTCCAGAATCTGCTTTATCAATTTCCAAAATAGTCCACTTTAAAAGCCCCCAAAAGCCTGACTCTGTCATTAGCTTCTTCAAGAACCATGGCTTTTCACAAATCCAAGTCAGAAACCTCATTAAAAAACGACCCAAATTGCTTTTGCGGGATCCTGACAAAATCCTTTTGCCTAAATTTCAGTTCTTTTACTCCAAAAGGATTTCAACCTCTGACCTCGCAAGAATCCTGTCTTCAAACCCACATGTGTTGGAATATGATTTAGATAACCGCATCATTCCCAGTTTCAATTTCTTCAAGGATTTAACTCACTGTGATGATGATAAGGTTTTTCTAGCCTACAAGAATTTGTCAGGCATTCTTACACGTAATTTGCAGTCCGTTTTTGCTGCTAATCTTGCAATTCTGCGAGAAATTGGGGTGCCTGAATCAATTCTTTTGGCTAAACTTGTTGTCCACCCAAGAATCTTTGCTCAGAATCATGATAAGTTTAGAAGAACTGCAGAAGAAGTAATGAAATTGGGTTTTAGACCCTCAAAGCAACTTTTTCTTGTAGCTCTTCAAGCTTTGATACAAATGAGCAAACCAACATGGCAAAGGAAATTCAATGCTTTTAAACAATGGGGTTGGTCTGATGAAGATATTATTTCTGCTTTTGAGAAGTATCCAAGGTGCATGATTCTCTCTGAGCGCAATGTCACAGCAACAATGAACATTTATATCAACACAATGGGCTGGAAATCTTCAGATATTGTAAACTCTCCGGTTCTTCTTTCATATAGCTTGGAGAGGAGAATTATCCCTCGGTGTTCAGTTCTTCAAGCTTTATCATCCAAAGGTTTGATTGAGAAATCCAGTGTTTATTCTATGGTGTATACTGAAAAGGAGTTCCTCCAAAGGTTTGTGACCCCTTATGAGGATCCTTATTTATTGAAACTATATGAGGAGAAGCTAAGCCTTTCAGATTAGATAGTATGATGTAGATGCTAAAACTGAACCAATGTGAACTTGCCCATCATTTTTGAAGGACAAGTTTATCTCTGTAATCTTCTTTTGTCTAGCATTGATATCTGATACAATATTGGTTTAACATTTTTTATCCATTTATTGTTCAGTGAAGTGATGAACTATCTTTTCCACATCTGTGCTTAATTTTACTATGCTTGCCTTTTAAATTTCATGAGGAATAGTGGCTGAAATTAGGATCTGCCTTACAATCTGGACAGACTGGTATTGATGATCTTGCCTTATATGAGATATGCTGGTGCTACCTTTGTTATTCATGAATGCAATTTCTTTTTTGGCTGTATATGCCTTCCTTGAAAGATAGTCAAGATGGAGATCAAAAGCATGAAATAATTGTTGTTTTCAACTTAGCTGCTTATTGTTTGCAGTGGAAAAGCTTTGTTTCCTTGTAAAAGGTGCATACAAATGCATCTTTGAGTGCTGCTTCTTGCTGAAAATTTCAGTCCATTGTCCCTATCTGAATGGAAAATTATTATGAATTATCAAATTCCATAAACTCTAGATGTTTTTGTGAGCCTAAACTTCAAATTTATGTCACATCTGATATCTTCATTTAAATATTGTCTGATATCTTCAACTCACTAGAGCAGCTCAGTTATTAAGCTGGAGTGCAGTGCACCTTGTTGGCAAGCTTCATAACTTTGTATCCCAAATCAACATTCTGCAGCATTTACTTATCACCTTTGGTTATTGTCCAGAAAATAATGTACTCACACAAATACAATTAACAGTTTTTCAATCAAAAGGGCATAATCTTTGTTAGACTTTCATCAGGGATTAGGAGACTCTTAGCCGTACAAACTTGAAAAGTGCTCGGGACTATCAAACTTAGTCCTGTTTTGCTCTAGTTTTGCTAATGTAGTAGTGTAAATAAAAGCCGTAATCATAAGTTCCATAGTTTGGATTATGAAGCTGAATTGCCTGATGCCATGATCTGATTCTTAGGTATGATGAGAAGAGAGTTTGAACATAAAACCTTTTGGTGGAAATAGTATTACTTCTCAGTATGATAGATATCAAAAGCATTCTTGATTTATTCAATGTGGGAACAGGGCTCATTGAATGGGGTTATTGTACCAGTCACCTGATGGAAGTAAAGCATAAAAGATGAAGAAAGCGAGACCTATGGTGTAACACGGTTACACGATGGAATTAAACAGATAAAAGAATGCCATGCAACTTTTACAAAGACAAGATCGATTTCAGTAGCAATAGATGACATATGGTCTTGCAAGGAAGAAAGAAAATAAATTGAAGATTATTTGAACTACACGAAAGAGCAACAATTTATGGTAGATTCCTGTTACTCACAATGGCGGTTGGCGTTGGAGGAAGGTGCTGAAGTTAAGAGCTGTTGCCTTCACCTTTATTATAACAGATTGGTGAAAAGGTTTGGGTTTATTCTGGTGCTAAATACTTCTGCTAAACAACTCGAAATGCAACTGGACAAACTTCAAAACTAAGTTCAGGTAGTTTATCCAGAGTCACCTTTAAAAAGTAATATCAGTAGATTTGAGGTTCAAATTTTAGTTTAAATCTCAGATTTTGTAATATCTTTTCCTATCTTTAGACTGCAATCTTAGTGAAAAAAAAAAAAAAAAAAAAAAAGGCACCAAGGCATGGCAATAAGAGTCTTGGAATATCCTCCTTTCTATTGATTCTCAATTGCTCCGAGAGCATATTTATGTCTAGTGGAGGGAAGAAACAGACGACTTGACGGAGGTGTAGCCAATACCATAACTGCATTGTTTGATCGTTCTATTCGGATTTGACTCAGTAGTATCAAAGCTATTGCAGGGGATTCATAAGTCAATAAAGATCTTTGTATAGCCAAGGGGTTAGATGACAGAATATTTGCCTAAGCTTTTTTTTTTTTTTAATGTATTTGACTTTGTAACTGCCTGCAGTTTATAACATTGTAACAGGTTTACATTTTTAGAGTCAAAGGGAAACTAGCGACAGTGCCTTCTGCAGGTCGTAGGCCATCAACAATCAGAATAATGCCTCATGAAACTAACAAAAATGAAGCACTTAACAGCACATAGCAGCCAACGACACCAATCTCATTAAAATATTCTCCATCCACATTACATTGGAAGTTGCGCCTTGTCACAATGGTGGGATGCAAGAAATCAGGGTCTATTTCTAAGGATCCTTGAACGGTGGTGAAGTTGTTTTCGTTGAAATTGAAAATATTAATTAGTGATATTAGATGAGATTAAGTATTATAGTAATGAGGTTAAAATCAGTTATAAAAATATATTTGGATACAAACGTAAACAATAAAATTCTTCATTTTTACATTAAAATAGTTTACCATCCAAGCGTTCAGTGAATTTATTGAACCCTTCTTCCTCTAATCTCTGACTGGAAGGTAATTGGGTCAACTGCACTACAAGTTGCTATTCAAGTCACTTTGGTGTATTTAACCACCAAAATGACCTTGAACTTCAGCACATTGGAGGATTGGTGAAATCCCAAATAATTTAAACCAATATCTTATTCGAAATTGAAATTTTTTGGCCGTTTTTTTAGTTTATGAAATTTTTATAATTTAAATTTTAATGATTAAAATTAATAAAATTTAATATTTTATTAATAAATCAATAGATAACATAATTATCACTTTTTTTTTTTTTTACATTTTTCACATAAAGTCATAACCTCAATTTTCAAATCTATTACATATATTAAAAGCTATCCCTAGTATATATTGAGGGGACAATTAAGAAATGTAAAAAACAAAAAAATTAAAGGTAATTTTGGGAAGACTTCTTCTCCAGAAGCTTTTCCCAGTTTCACATTTTCGATTTTTTTTTCTATTCTTCTTTATGATACTATTTTTGCTCTTGGTAATTGTTTTTTTCTCTTCTTTTTCTAAGCATTTAATTGAAAAATTATTTTGAGCTTTTTTATTTTACTTTTTTTTATGATTCAAAGTTAAATCAAAAGGTTAAAATTTTTGGATGTATCAATCGGTTAAAATATAAGTAAAAAAAAACTCACTTGGAAATGATGAAGAATAGTAATAGGTTGAGAGAGGTGAGTTGAACTGACGAGTTGAGCTTAGCTGAACTAGAATGAGAGAGTAGGAGTGGAATCTGAATCGGTAAGTTTTTGTTAAGTTGTGTTTTTTATGCAATTTTTTTTTGTAGGTATTGACTTGATTTGTTTCTGACATGCAATTCATGTTTGATATACTATTTTCCTTTTTTTTTTTTTGGTTTTGTTTATTTTTCTTTTACATATCTTTATCCACTTCAAATTGTTAATTTTCTTTTACATCACCATTATTAATTTTAATTTGATGTTTTAAAAATACATATCGTAAAATTTGGATATGCATTGAGAAACTATGTGAACAGCTTTATGCATTTTCTTTTTAAGAGTCCCCATATATCCTATAATTCTCTAAGTCCACCAATAAGTATGCTTCCTAAAATTCATTAGTAATGTTCTTCTTGGATTTGCTATATATTTTTTGTTCCTTTGTTGAACTAATTACATTTTTTTTTATCTTGGTATATTGTTGTAGGTACATATATTCTTTGTGTTGCAATAACAAGTATATTTAAGTTTTAGCTTTATATTTGCATTTGCATATATAAATTGAGCAATATGCCAATATATATTTAAGTTCTCAAGTTAAAGAAAAAAGAAATTAAATGAGCCTATTAGATCATACAAGTTTATGTTTAATTTCAAAGCTAAAGTTTTTTCCAACTCTCCTAAGATCATGCTCGTAAGGGTCTCACTTCTTAAAAATTCTAGTATTATCCAAAATGTAAGTTGATACTTATTGGTTTAACTCTATTGATGTGGTTGAGAGTGTATGAAAAGAAAAAAAATTTACAATCTTTCTGTTAAAAAATCTACAAAATAGCACAACTATGAATTTAGTGAATATTATTAATAATTCAAAGGATGATAGTTGAGCTAATAACATGTGTGGTCCTTAAATTTTGGGCTAAATTTTATATTGGTCCCTAAACTTTGAAAAGTTCTAATTGAATTCTTAATTGCCTAAACATATGTTAATGTGGTCTCTCCATCTGCTGGACCATCTAAATTGACGATAAATCATACATGGTAACGGATTACGTGGAATTTTTTATGGTTTTTAAATAAATCATAAACTAGAAATGACAAAAGACTAACAAACAAACTTTGACTAGACAAAAACAAAAAAAGACTAAAAAAATAGTAAATTTTACTATAAAAGAAAGAAGAATTTTCATTTTTTTTTGTTTTCTTTGCTCTAAATTGAAGGCCCTGGATTTTAAGGGAGGGAAAGTTTGACAAAAAGAAGATGAGAAGAGTTAATAGTATTGCAGGGGAACAAAATGAAAGCATGTTTATTTGTAGATAGTGATTTTATTTTTGAAGAAGAGAAGCATCTCACTATTCTCAAAACCTTTTTTTCTTCACCAACGATGGCTTCATTATTAATGATCGTAAAGGCCTTTTAGTCTTTTGAGTCGATTTGTATGGCCCTAACCCTCGTGAATGGATGCTCATGGAAAATTCTTACTTATTGTGAGAAAAATGGTATATATTTTTTTAATTTGAATGATTTGGCTTTGAATTATGTTTTGTGAAATGCGAAAAAAATGAATTTTTTGTAATGGGTTCTTTTTATGATCTGATTTGGATAAATAGGTATAGATTTGATTTTCATATAGTTTAAGAAGCTTTGATAACTCATTCATAGAGGGTTTTGAATTCTAAGTCAACTCGCTCATATACTTTTTCTTATTTACTTGGTGTTCATTTTTTGTAATAAAAATGTGCTAAATTACCAATTTTAGTTAAACCCGAAAAATTGCAAAAGTTTCTTTTTTTTTTTTAGTTGGTTTACTTTTTTAATGGATGTTGCAAATTGTTTAGATCAAAGCTACCAAAATTTCACGTAATAAAAGTTTGGATCTAGGGTTAATGATATTAGACAAGAAGAAGAAGATAAGGGTTAAAAAATTTCACGTAATAAAAGTTTGAAATAATGTGTCATGCCACATAAGATTTACTATCAATTTAGATGATTCAACAAAAAGAAGGATCACATTGACACACATTTGGGCAATTGAGGACTCAATTAGAACTTTTCAAAGTTTAAGGATCAATATAGAATCTAGCCCAAAGTTTAGAGACCATGCGTGCTATTAACTTATGATAGTTTATTAAAAGGCAATGTTAAAAAACCGTTGAATTCAAACTTGGATTTTACAAAGTTGACAACATTTCAAAGAAGAATTTTGAAAAACCTGCCTTAACTTCTAATTCTTTCATTTTTTTCATATGCCTTTACTTCCTTTTATGACCAAATAGGCAAGCCCCTTTTGAACTTTTCTTATTTTCCTCATTTGTTATGCTCGTAAAAGCCACATTTTATTTGTGCTCCTTTTCATGTAAATGGGCCTAATAATAAGCTATATTGTGAGCTTTATTTGGATCTCTAAATGGATTTATGTAACAGGCTATTTATGGATCATAATTAAGTTATGAATTAAGCCCATAATTATAAATGGCATTTTTAATTGGCTTTTAAAAAAAATTTAATTAGTTTTTTTAATTTTTTTATTAATTCCAAAGCTCATTTGGTGATCACCTTGGGCTTTTAATTGGACTAGAAATTGGGTTCCTTAAAATCAACCATTTTTATCTTCATTTTGGTATTTCATAAAACGAGCCTAATTTAACGATGTTAGACCATTTTGGATAAAATTAGGTGTTTACACTTACATTTCCTAAGTCAACAAAATTCAGGAATCATGCTTTTCTCTTCAATTTCACTTTCTCTTTTGGAATATAAGAATTTGTGAATCAAATGCTCTCTAAGAGTAGTTTTATGAATCAACTAAGTTTTAGGTTCGATAATATATAGCTTTGCTAATATGTGAGGTTGTTTATTTAGCTTCAAAATGATGGTTTTCTTGTTTCTTGACTCTTCGAAGGTGTCAATTTTTATTTAATAAATTAATTATCAAAATGGTTAAAATACAAGAGACTCAAATAAGTATATAAGCATAGATACCTAATTTTGTCCAAACAAATTTGGTTAATTGTAAAACTTTTAGAATCCAACCCAATTTGAATCTAACATTTCTTTAATTTTAATAGCTTTTTAAAATTGATTTATCACTAATTTGACCCAAAATGTCACGGGGTCAAATTTGATCAAACTCGATCAAATGAAGTTAAACTTGATCAAAATCGATCAAGATCAATCAAATTGGATTAAATTGGGGTCAATTTTCAAAATTAAAAACAAAATGGGATTAATAGGGCTTGAGATTAATATTTTGTGATTTTAGCGCACTAAAACTTTGATTGCACTTCAAGAAGGATAAATTACCAAAATGCCATTCAAGCGTATTTTTGTAATTTTACTTTTTCAAAGTTGGATTTTTGTAAAACTTTCAGATTATGTTTTTATAATATTTCATGATTTTTGATATATCAAAAATCACGAAATATTATAAAACTGATAACATCACGAGATATATGAAATTATCAAAATACCCTTAGGGGTAATTTAGTAAATTAACCATCTCGAGCTTTATTTCACGAAATGCTCCACATCATGGTTTTATATTATTTTATGATTTTTGGCCACTAAAAACTTTTATCACAAATTGAAAGATATGGAATTACTAATTTAGTAAATTAACCATCCCGAGCTTTATTTCACGAAATGCTCTATATCATGGTTTTATATTATTTTATGATTTTTTGCCACTAAAAACTTTTATCATAAATCGAAAGATATGAAATTACTAAAATGCCCTTAAAAATATTTTTTTAATTTGACCTTCTTGAGGTCAATTTCGTGAAATGCTCCAAATCATATTTTTATATTATTCTATGATTTTTGATGTATTAAAAACTTTGATCACACATCAAAAGATGTAAAAATACTAAAATACCCTTAAAAGGTATTTTTATAATTTGACTTTTTCGAAGTCGATTTTTTACAAAACTTTTATATCTTAATTTCATAGTATTTAAAATTTTTTATGCTTTAAAATCACAAAATGAAGAAGGAAAAATTGTTTTCTAAGAAAATTGCATAAAAGATGAAAACTTTTCTAATGGAGGTAAAATGATCTTTTCATCTGGCCTATGCTTCACATAAGGTGGCTCAAGCATCCTACTTGAGTTTGCTTACTTATTTTCTGATGGGGTTTCTTGTTATAAAAAAAAAGGTGCTTCATGAGTAACATTCATAATTTTTACTTTGTACGTATATCCTAACGAAAAACACTTTCAAAATTTTGATAGGGATGCAAATGGTGTGATGGGGCATCTATAAATACTTCAAAAACTTAAAGAACAAGGAAAATTTAAAGGAGAATGTTTCTAGACACTCATAAATTTTGAAAAACAATAAAATTTAGAGGCAAATTTTTTCTTTACACTTCCAAAATATTTTTCTGGATATCTTTAATATCTATAAAATTAATAAATTTGTCGATAATATTTTAAATGTATTATAAGTAGACATTAAAAAAAAAAAATTGGATCCATCACTGAACAAGGAATATTCATATCAAATTTATTCTTGTTTTGTTGATGCAATGTAATCCATCTGATTCCAAGATTGTGAAATGGATAGAATATAATGGACAATAGTTTTTTTTTTTTTATCACCAGTTTGTTTACAAATTTTGAGTTTAAAATGGTATCGATGGCTAAAAAATAATAAGAATTTTAAATTACACAACCACGATTAATTAATGTGCAAAATTTAGATTTTATGAGCAGAATTAAAGAGTTAATATGTAGTCATTTATTAATTAATAGTGTATAAGATAATTTTACATAAAAAAAATAAAAATAAATTGTTAATCAAGTTTAACCAAAGCTAGGCCTAGTGAAGACTTTTCCATTAGTTGGGCTGTCCATTAAGTAGGTGGGCTTAGAATGATTTATGATGGGCCCTCGATAAGGATTATTTAATTTAAATTTGCTTAGATCAGATAATTATTTTTTATTTAAATTGATTCTATAATTATTTAAAAATATTGAATATTAATATAAAATTATTTTAAAATTTTAATATATTTTGAATAATTTTAAACTTATTCAAGCTTAAATGAATGAATGAATTGAGCCTAATTCGAATAATGCTTTTAAAGTGACAACTAAAATCCGATTCAATATAAAAAAGGTAAAAGATAATTTATATATATTAAATAAAAATTATATATATTATGATAATAAAATTATAATGTAAAAAGGAATCATGTGAAAATTAAATATTAAAATTGAAAAAAAATTGAACAGAATTTATTTAAGGATTGGGTAATTAAGTTAAATATTAATTCAGAAATTTGAGAATATTAAGGGGGCCAAATAGAAAGAAATAAAAGCTTTTTGGCCAACAAAAGAAAGCAATAAAAACTTGAAAGAAAATTCTAGGGTACAACTTTATATTTGGATATGGCCAAAGCCTCCCCGCCTCGCCCCCTGGCTCGTCAGGCAGACCCCATGCAGAAGCAGGAACTGTGGGAGTGCAACGAGTTAAATTCAAAGGTGTGTTGTTTTCCCTTACTTTTGTCTGAATTCGCGGATTTTAAAGTTAAAGGTTCAGTTTTGGATGATGGGATCCATGTTTTACTCTTTCTGCAAAACACAAATCTACATTAGAGGTGGAATTTGCAGGATTTCACCTACTTCCCAATGTCTCAGCTTTCTTCAAAACCTTTCAATGATTCCATTAGCTGCTACATATGTTTCAAGGATCGCTAGCAATGAACAATCTTTTACATCTTCTTACCTCATAAACTCTTGTGGGTTCTCTCCAGAATCTGCATTATCAATTTCCAAAATAGTCCACTTTAAAAGCCCCCAAAAGCCTGACTCTGTCATTAGCTTCTTCAAGAACCATGGCTTTTCACAAACCCAAATCAGAAACCTCATTAAAAAAAGACCCAATTTGCTTTTGCGCCATCCTGACAAAACCTTTTTGCCTAAATTTCAGTTCTTTTACTCCAAAAGGATTTCAAGCTCTGACCTCGCAAGAATTCTGTCTTCAAACCCACATGTGTTGGAATATGATTTGGATAACCGCATCATCCCCAGTTTCAATTTCTTCAAGGATTTAACTCACTGTGATGATGATAAGGTTTTTCTAGCCTACAAGAATTTGTCAGGCATTCTTACACGTAATTTGCAGTCTGTTTTCGCTCCTAATCTTGCAATTCTGCGAGAAATTGGGGTGCCTGAATCAATTCTTTTGGCTGAACTTGTTGTCCACCCAAGAATCTTTGATCAGAATCATGATAAGTTTAGAAGAACTGCAGAAGAAGTAAAGAAATTGGGTTTTAACCCCTCAAAGCAATTTTTTCTTGTAGCTCTTCAAGCTTTGATGCAAATTAGCAAACCAACATGGGAAAGGAAATTCAATGCTTTTAAACAATGGGGTTGGTCTGATGAAGATATTATTTCTGCTTTTGAGAAGTATCCAAGGTGCATGATTCTTTCTGAGCACAATGTCACAGCAACAATGAACTTTTATGTCAACACAGTGGGCTGGAAATCTTCAGATATTGCAAACTGTCCGATTCTTCTTTCATTTAGCTTGGAGAGGAGAATCATCCCTCGGTGTTCGGTTCTTCAAGCTTTATTATCCAAAGGTTTGATTGAGAAATTCAATGTTTATTCTATGATGTACACTGAAAAGGAGTTCCTCCAAAGGTTCGTGATCCCTTATGAGGATCCTTATTTATTGAAACTATACGAGGAGAAGCTAGGCCTTTCAGATTAGATGGTATGATATAGATACTAAAACTGAACCAATTTGAATTTGCCTGTCAGTTTTGACGGATAAGTTTATCTCTCTAATCTTCTTTTGTCTAGCATTGATATGTTATACAATATTGGTTTAACTTTTTTTATCCGTTAATTGTTCGGTGAAGTGATGAACTACCTTTTCCACGTCTGTGCTTAATTTTACTATGTGTGCCTTTTAAAGTTCATGAAGAATAGTGGCTGAAATCAGGATATTTCTTACAATTCGGACAGACTGGTATTAATGATCTTGCCTTATACGAGATATGCTGGTGCTACCTTTGTTATTCATGAATGCAATTTCTTTTTTGGCTATATACGCCTTCTTTGAAAGATGGTCAAGATAGAGATTGAAAGCATGAAATAATTGTTGTTTTCAACTTAGCTGCTTATTATTTGCAGTGGAAAAGCTTTATTCCCTTGTAAAGGGTGCATACAAATTCATCATCAAGTTCTGCTTTGCCAGAAAATTTCAGTCCATTATCCTTATCTGAACATAACATTATCATGAATTGTCAAATTTCCATGAGCTCTAGATGTTTTTGTTAGCCTAAACTTCAAATTTATGTCATATCTGATGTCTTCGTTTAAATATTGTCTGATATCTTCAGCTCACTAGAGCAGCTCAGTTATTAAGCTGGAGTGCAGTGCACCTTGTTGGCAAGCTTCATAGCTTTGTATCCGACTTCAACATCCTGCAGAATTAACTCTTCACCTTTCCTTATTGTCCCAAAAACAATGTACTCACACAATACAATTAATAGTTTTTCAATCAAAAGGGCATAACCTTTGTTAGACTTTCATCAGGGATGAGGAGACTTCTCTGTACAAACTTGGAAAGTGCTTGTAACTATCAAAATTAGTCCTGTTTTGCTTGAGTTTTGCTAATGTAGTAGTGTAAATAAAAGCCGTAATCATAAGTTCCATAGTTTGGATTATGAAGCTGAATTGCCTGATGCCATGATCTGATTATTAGGTATGATGAGAAGAGAGAGTTTGAACATAAAACCTTTTGGTGGAAGTGGTATTACTTCTCTGTATGATAAATATCTAATGCATTCTTGATTTATTCAATGTGGGAACAGGGCTCACGGAATGGGGTTATTGTACCAGTCACCTGATGGAAGTAAAGCATAAAAGATGAACAAAGTGAGACCTATGGTGTAACACGGATACCCGATAGAAATAAACAGATAAAAGAATGCCATGCAACTTTTACAAAGACGATTGATTTCAGTAGCAATATGATGACATGGTCTTGCAAGGAAGAAAGAAAATAAATTGAAGATTATTTGAACTACACGAAAGAGCAACAATTTATGGTAGATTCCTGTTACTCACAAGGGTGGTTGGCGTTGGAGGAAAGTGCTGAAGTTAAGAGCTGTTGCCTTCACCTTTATTATACAACAGATTGGTGAGAAGGTTTGGGTTTATTCTGGTGCTAAATACTCCTGTTAAACACACTCGAAATGCAACTGGACAAAACACAGAACTTAGTTCAGTTAGTTTATCCAGAGTCACCTTTAAGCAGTAATATCAGTAGATTTGAGGTTCAAATTTTAGTTTAAATCTCAGTATTTGTAATATCTTTTCCTATCTTTAGATTGCAATCTTAGTGAAAGAAAAAAAAAAAGGGCACCAAGGCATGGCAATAAGACACTTGGAATATCCTCCTTTCTATTGATTCTTAATTGCTCCTAGAGCATATTTATGTCTTGTGGAGGGAAGAAACAGACGACTTGCCGGAGGTCTAGCCAATACCATAACTGCATTGTTTGATCGTTCTATTCGGATTTGACTCATTAGTATCAAAGCTATTACAGGGGATCCATGAGTCAATAAAGATCGTTGTATGGCAAAGGGGTTAGATGACAGAATATTTGCCAAAGCTTTTTTTTTTTTTTTTTAATGTATTTGACTTTGTAACTGCCTGCAGTTTATAACATTGTAACAGGTTTACATTTTTAGAGTCAAAGGGAAACTAGCGACAGTGCCTTGTGCAGGTTGTAGGCCATCAACAATCGGAATAATGCCGCATGAAACAAACAAAAATAAAGCACATACAGCACATAGCAGCCAACGACACAAATCTCATTAAGCTCTTCTCCATCCACATTACGTTCGAAGTTGCGACTTGTCACGATGGTGGGATGCAAGAAATCAGGGTCTATTTCTAAGGATCGTTGAACGGTGGTGAAGTTGTTTACGTTGAAATTGAAAATATTAATTAGTGATATTAGATGAGGTTAAATATTATAATAATGAGATTAAAATCAATGATGAAAATATTTTTGAATACAAATGTAATGTAAACAATGAAATTCTTCATTTTTACATTAAAATAGTTTACTGTCCAAGTGTCTAGTGAATTCATTGAATCCTTCTTCCTCTAATCTTTGACGGGAAGGTAATTGGGTCAACTGCACTACAAGGTGCTATTCAAGTTCACTTTGGTGTAGTTAACCACCAAAATGACCTTGAACTCCACCACATTGAATGAGTGGTGAAATCCCAACTAATTCTAAACCAATATTTTACTCAAAATTGAAATTTTCAGGCCCTTATTTTAGTTTATGAAATTTTTATATTTAAATTTTGATCCTTAAAATTAAATTTTTTTATATTTTATTAATAAATTAACAGATAATGTAATTATTGCTTTTTTTTATTTTTTTACATTTTTCACATAAAGTCACAACTTCAATTTTCAAATCTATTACATATTTAAGAGTTATTCCTAGTATATATTAAGGGGACAACTAAGTAATGTAAAAAAAAATTTTTTTAAGGTAATTTTGGGAAGGCTTATTCTTTGGAAGTTTTTCCCAACTTCTTATTGTTGATTTCTTTTCTATTCTTCTTTACGATGCTACTTCGCTCTTGATAATTGTTTTTTTTCTCTTCTTTTTCTAAGCATTTAATTGAAGAATTCTTTCGAGATTTTTGTTTATTAACTTATTATCATTCTATCTTGATCCCTTAGATGTTTAAGCTTTTATGATCTAAAAAATCTATCATGAAAATGGTCTTGATAGTTGGCCTCATCAGAAGGGAGCCCCTTTCATCTATTTATGATTTTAGTTTTTTTTTTATGATTCAAAGTTGTTAGCTTTTAAAGTGAGATGGTGATCCAAGAGAGAGAGTAAATTAGATTTCTCCAAGTTATTTTCCAAAATTAGATTTCAAAATAATTGAATGAAAAATTAAAATCAATATCAAAATATGATGCAAATGACAACAATTGATATATCTAGAAGCAAGTATAATCAATAATGAAAATTAAGAGATAAGGATAGAGAAATTAAACACAAAGATTTATTGAAGTTTGGTCATTCTCCATAAGCCACATATATCCTTTCTTCTTGGTTGTCTACACTAAGACTTCAATCAACTAATCTTGAATTGAAAAAATAGCCCTATATTTTTCTCTCTAAGGCTTAAGATAGAAACCTCTATCTTTTGTAGTGTTTTATCGAATATCACTACAAAGCTCTCAAGAGGATACCTCACATCTTGTTTTTTTTCACTTTCGTATATTCAAGGTAATTTTGCAAACAATAGAACAACTTATCTAAGGCTAGGTATTTGCTAAGTTTAAGAACAAGGTAATGATGAATGAACAACAAATATGATTTGGATACAATAAATACAAAGATATTGACTTTAAAGCTTTAAAACTCTTGACTTCTTTAAGAGAATGAATATATGGCTTGTTTGATCTTACTCTCTTTATTTATCAATCTTGGTGTGTTGGAATGCTCAATTTATAGAGGAATTGAAGAACTAGCCTTTGAGGATAGTTTGGAGTTGAAACAAAACATCAAAGCTTGAAAAACTAATCGTTGGTGCTTTTTTAGGCGTAGGGGATCAATCTTGTGCCTTACTTGATTGATCATTTCTTGTAAGGAATTGATCCCTTTTGGTATTTTTCAAATCTATTTTATTTTTTTAAGAAAAATCAATCAATCCATTACAAGAGAAGATCTATTAGTTTAGCCAAGGGATCGATCCTGTAACCCAGGGGATCAATTCGGTCAAGCTAGGTAGTTGTCTCCTATTTTGCATTCTTCTCACTAATTTGATCATATCTTGAGTTATAATTTCAAATAAAAAACTATTTAAAGATTTAGAAACTAGACTTAAAGGATTTTCTATCCTTATAAAATTCATCACCTAATTCATTGTATTTGAATTATAGTGAATTTTTAAATCTACCCTTTGTGTAGTTTTTAGACAATTACAAAGTATCTAGTAAAAATTTAAAAACTTTTCTTCGAAAATTTGAATTTTGATTTTGTTTGATCCATTAGAAAGTAGACTCAAAGAGCTTTCCAATCATATAAAATTCAAATATTAAAACTTTGTAAATTAATATAAAAAATAAAATAAGTTCAATATTAGAAAACTTTGTTCTTGTAAAACAACTTTCTTAAGTTAAACTATTTCTCAAAACCAATATTATCAAAATTGTATTGAGTCCAAAATGAATAAGTTCACTTTAAAAACAATAATCGGACTTTCATTAACCTTAAATAAATAATATTTAAAGATAGTTTTGATTTGAGAAATAAGAAAACATAAAGAAAGATTTGTTTAAACTTTGAAAATCATATTATTTATTTAGTACCAAAATAATAAAACTTAAGAACATGTACTAAATAAATATTTTTTAAAATCTTGATCAAGCTTATTTAGCTTAATATTTTATCATTTCAAAATAAGGATCAATTTAAGACTAATAAAAGTTAAATCAAAAGGTTAAAAAATTTAGAAGTATCAATCGGTTAAATATAAAAAAAAATCACTTGGAAATGGTGAAGAATAGTAGTAGGTTGAAAAAGGTGAGTTGAACCAATGAGTTGAGCTTAGCAGAACAAGAAGGAGAGAGTAAGAGTAGAATTTGAATCGGTGAGTTTTTGTTAAGTTGTGTTTTCTTATGCATGTTGTTTTGTGGGTTTTGAATTGATTTGCTTCGAA